GAACGTCTGATAAAGAGAATTTCGAAAGGACTATCATATGAAGCCTGTTTTGCATTATGATGACATTCTTACAATCGGGAACCCTTTTCAGAAATATTCAGGATACATCAGAAAAGCTTTACAGACAGACCAACTTAAAACTTAATTCACTGAAATGTGAATTAATTTTCTGAAATGTTTACTATCTCGGTCATATTGTCTCTGCCAAATGTGTAAACACAAATTCTGAGAATCTCAAGGCTGTTTTTGACTGGTATCGCTTTCATGACGTTCATTATGAAACTCTTTCGGCCTCTGTACTTATTCTCGAAGATTTATTAAAGATTTTTATAACTGGCTCAGTCTTTGTATTCCTTGACAGAAGCAAAACAAACCTTATCATAGACTGGTGGGGATGAAGAAGCATTTAAAGCTCTGAAGGAACCATTGACTTCTGCTCTTGTATTAGCTTATCTCCAGCTTGAGTATGAAATATTCTTGATATAGAGGCCAAGCAATGCAGAAAAACGAGCTGTTCTTTTGCAAGAAATTGATAGTCAAGAGCCTTTTATTCCGTTTTTTCAGTAAACGTCTCAAGTCGAAAGATACTTCGTCAGCAGAAGAAAAAGTGTTAGCCATCGTGAAAGTGGTAAAACAGTTCCACCATTATCCTTATGATAGCAAATTCTTGCTGCTCACTGGCAACTCCTCATTAAGCAGGCTACTTAATTTCAAAATTCAAAAGGTCAAAAAGTTAGATGGATGTAGCGGCTACAGAAATACGACATCGGAATTCGGCATTGCAAAATAACTTTGCTGGAAATACTGATACGCTTTTTAGAAAACTTTGGACAGAAACAAGCAAGCAGTGCTCGAAAAGTGAGAGAAAATATCGTTTTGAAATCCCAGTGATCAGCCAAGTTAACCCAAATTTTATAATATCAGATATTGATCCATGGAACTGCAAAGAGCTTAAGAATCAAAAAAAGGAAGATCCTGTTTGAGACTAATAATGGAATAAATATAAACAGCGAATGAAAACCAGCTGATAAGAAATGGCACACTTTAACCCGACAACTACAAAAAAAAAAAAAAAAAAAAAAAAGGTTTTATTTTTTCATTTCGCCTGCTCAGATGGTGCTTTTCCACAAATGAGAAGCCGACGACAAAAAGAGTTTCGTATTGCAATTCGTTTTATCGAGATTCCGAATCCCTAGTGTTCTGTCAAAGCTATTCACTGGTGCTGCTGGAGATCATAGCATTTGAACGAACATTTTGCTTTTGGACGCCTCAGTTGCCCAAGTTCTCAAGTACTATCTGATCTCTGTATTATTCGTCTAGCTACTTTGCTCAGTGCCGCCCAGCCCGTATAGTGGTCCAGGATGTGAATCCCGGAAAAAGGATGGATGTTTGTACGCGTATAGTAGCTGTGAAGCATGGGGCACTCAAAATGCAAGGCGAGCTGAAAGTCCTCTCGAGTGGTTAGTGGTAGGGGAAGAGGGGTGGGAGACCTTCGGACCGCTCCCTGGGCTGTGCTTCCTCGAAACTGGGACGGTAGCCTAACAATTGGCTAGGTTCAACAATATCTCAATTACCTGTGATACTGCAGAGGTACTGACCTAGCTTCTACCTGTACTGGAGGTCATTTTAGTGTAACAAAAACACTCCATAAAGTATGTAAGCTTTTCTTCTGGTACAGAGCCAAAACATATGCAAAAAATTAGAATAATTCTGTGATGCGTGTGGGGAAAAAAAAAATGAAACTCCATTTTTCTCCCTAACGCAGAAATAAAAAATGTATAATATGGTTGAATTTGCAGTTAAGAGAATAAGCAGATTGGAGACAAATTTTAAAAAAGAAGCATTAATCAGGGGGAGGTGAAGGTAATCGCGATATGTTTGTAATCGTCAAGCAGAATGTGAATGAAAGGGGAGGGAAGTGCTCCCGAATCTGAATGATAACTCGTAAGCTAAAAACACATCATAAAGTTCCGCAGTCGCTATTTTAAACCCTACATTTAATCGCAGTGATCCAAATGTCGCATGGTCGTGGAAAGATGGGCATACTTGAGCAGCACTTATATATCAGTATTTCACTATGTTATGTCCGATTTAATGACACTTGGACAGATGACACCTAAGACAAATAAAAAAGCAGAGACACTTGCGCACAAGAAACATTCATTGCTGGATGAATACTAGTATGGGTACTAGTAGGTTGTATAGTTTAGTGGCAGTTCCGAGCAGAACCACATCTTCTTGATTATCTTTCGATAACTTAGAGTAGTGACTTTGAGTATTAATTTGCTTTACAAAGTTTTAAGCTACTGGACTGCATAAATATATATTTTAACAAAATGTTTATATTATGTATGTGTTAATGTGCAAAGAATGATAAATATTTTAAGGAATGAGGTACCTTTAAAATGTCAAAATGTGTCCAAAATATTTGCAGATATATTCTGTAACTTTCAAAACTACTTCATTTTGCGTTGTCATCCATCCTGCGTCTTTTAGTTTTGCTTTTGATATATCTCCTCGTTTTCACTTTAGAATTTTAATTAATACGAAACTGCCGATGCCGATAATGGTTATAGACTGCGCATGATTTGCTTTTACATGTTTCAATAAGGGCGAAATTGATTTTACATGAGTGTTCTAAAAGGTACTTTTGTAAAAACATCTAATAATACGCAAGAAACAATCTGAAGAACCATCAGAACAGGAATAGATACAACTTAAGAGAAATCATATCGGTAAAGCACAAAGCTGATTGAGTGTTTCTTACAGTCTGTGCAGAAGTGTCAAATGTTGTCTATAACTGGTTACACCATGTTATAAAATTTCATGTTCCCGAAAGGATGATGTGCGCAAATGCCATTTGTGCGGAACTGCCATGTACGCAAGTGTTACGTCACTGTTATTCCTCGCTGCCACCCAGTGTGGATGAAGAAGTATAAACAGTGCTACCTTACTGTAAACCACAGACGCAAGAGCCCAAATGTGTTTTTAACTTAGCTTTAGGAAGAAACTGAAGAACAGAAGTTGCTTTGATGGCTTCACATTCGGTAAGACAGCGCTTGCTCTTAACTTTGAACTGGTCCCATGATATAAATAATCATGAATATTTCCGCGAATTTCGCATTTTGCAATTCTAATGATTTTTTCTTTAAAATGTATGAAACTTTTGTATTTAATTTATGAAAATTTTACTAAGTGGTTTTTTTTTTTTTTTTTTTTTTTTTTTTTTAAGGAGGTCATATAAAAATTTAAATTTTATATTCATAAAGCATTTTATCCTCAGAGTTGCAACCATCTTAGTATAAGTCTGCACTTTATTTTCAGAAATTTCGTAACTGTAAGTGCATACGTATGATCAATATTTGAAGAAGTAATGCTTTTGGTAAAACATCACAAATGCTTGAAAATCTAAAGCAGCTCAGGCTCCATTTCGCCATTCCCTGTTATCCGCAATATAAATGGGGCAAAATGTGTGTATAGATGAGAGATAAAGCAAGAAAATGCACTGGTGTATGTAAGATACACAACTTTCTCGGAAGACGAAATTGTGGATTAAATGTGCACGGATGGTACGTGGTTTACATCTAATAAAATAAAAAGGGGGAGGGAATTATAAACTCAAATGACCGCAAAAGGCAGATTGCTTATGTATCGTGCTGTATTTCATATAAGCTACTAATTAATACGCTTCAAGATTATTTTTATAAAACCATAAATATAAATCCAATAGTTCCTTAAATTTTGACAAATTTACAGAGTTTTCTTTTTTTAGCAAATGTGCTCAATTTTATGCTATCAGCTTGGTTAATTCGAAGTCAGAGGGAAATGCAAACGCTTTCGACTAAGATTTCAGTTTTATCAAAAATGAATTATTTGACTAATTGGTTATTTTGATTAACACTTTCCATTCCTTTCTGTTGAAATTTAACTTATCTCTGCGTTTAAGTACTATTAAAAAAGGAAAACAAATAACAATTTCCATTCCTTTCTGTTGAAATTTAGCCTATCTCTGCGTTTAAATACTATTAAAAAAGGAAAACAAATAGCCGCAAGTACTTCATACAAAGATAATTATAATTTTCATTTTTTCTTCTTTTTATTTGTCTTAACGTGACATACAAAATAAAGAATTTCACATATAAAATGAAATGTTTTAAAATTCATTAAAGCACCATGTTTAAACAAACAATTCATGATCATTTGCGGTGTGATACGTTTGCAAGCGCTGCTTACCATTTAAGTTGCATCAAAGGAGATCAATTTTCGTTTCCACTCACTGCAATCTGTGTTACTTAACAGTTTCAAAACTAATTGTCAACGAAAATGCTTAAGATTCTTAATGATACCCTGATCCACACGCTCACTGCGTATAACAGTCATATTTATAGGAAAGTGAGTAATTTTGATACCGTTCAGCTGAACAATGTTACGATAAGCAGGGCAATTATCAATCAATATCAAAATGCTCTTCTATCTTGATTAGAAAAAATTTTCCTGTGATACTAACCCGTTTCGAAACAGGTAACTAGTCAGTCAAGTCTTTTTGTTGGTTTTCTACTGCACAGAAAAACGTTTCACAATTTAAAGCATATTGGTTGAGGAAGTTTTTCTATTACTCACATCGTAACTTCTCAAACTATCCGTATTCACATTCTATTAAAATTGTTTTCCTGCTTTGTTATTTCGACAACCACAGCGGCCATTTCTACCATCTTTAAATTTAAACGCCTTGTCCAGTAACACTTATAAAAAGTCATCATTATTGAAAATGCTTCTCAATTCACGAATTGCAATAAATTCAAACATTTCTGCAACTACTGATACACTTTCTCAACTTTTTTCCCTCGAAATTCGTTCGAATTAACCACGTTGACCACATATGAAACTGATGGAAGTTTTATTGTGTTATATCAACATTCCGATTAGCTGTGTTGCATGTTTATAGTATATTTTCTAGCATTATTTAAACGACTAAACAAAAACTGAAATTTTATTTACAGGCCCCATCAGAATCGTCCTGAGTGCCGCCCGTTGCACTTCCATCTTCTCTACAATCGGAATGCAGTTATTTCTACCATCCATAAACGCTTGATCCCTAACTCACTGTGTAAATAAAAATTGCAAAATCCTTTTCTTGATTCATTTTTTGTGTTTCACATTTTTATTCATCTTTATTAGTTCGCAAATAAGAATATGTTCAGTCACCTTGACAGTAGTTTAAATTGTTAAAAGTAAAGGTATTAATATTCGACCAAGAATCAATAATAATTTTTAATCTTCTTCGGTTAACTCTACGTTTAACTAAACACAAGAGAATTCCCTTACCAATATTAAATTAAGATTCCCTTAATAAATGTGTCGAGGTCTGTGTTTGGAATGTCACATGTAAGCTGAATTTGATCAATATGATTCTGACCTAGCACTAACTTGTAGTCATATGACCTAAACAAGAAGTGGAAGCCAACAAGAGAATTTTTTCAATATCTCCTATAACAAGAGAAAGTATTGTTAAATAATATTTAGCTCTCCTCGTTGTGGTAAAAGACAACTTTTCCTTTATTTTTATTTCAAATCCAAATGGGGAAGGTGTTCTGATCATTGCTGATGCTGTTGAAAATTTGATATCCGTCTCAAAATAAACTGAATTAATGTTCCCACAGGAAACATTAGATGGATTCCGTAACGTAAAAAAATATGCATTAATCAATCTTTCAATTCTTTTTCCATTAATCAATCATTTCTTCAGTTTGACAGCCTGAGTCAAAATAAACTGTACTATATCAGTTATTTCTTAGGAAAATGTGAACAGGATTCCATGTAAAGTCCCGCCGAATGCCATGAAATCCATATTCAAATTCGAAAATTTCACTCCATACATCGAAGGCTTCGCAAAATACTGCTGTTTCACTGCATACCATTTGGAAAATACTGACCCAAAACATGAGCAGTATTAAATATGTAAAACATAATCATTGTTTAAATATGCTTGAAATATAAGCACATTCAGAGTCAGTATCTCATTCAAGCTCTAAATATAAAAATAATTTTTCAACAGGCTCCTTTATTTTTCATACCAACATACAATAAGTAAACTTACGCGTTATGAATTTTTAGATTTGCTTCCTTAAACTACTAAATTAGCATCACATCACGTTATGGACGTAAAACTCCGCTTTCGTATTGATTACACATGAAAATTTCTGCCAGCTTGCTCTAATGTATCCGATTTCAGATTGCATGTATATTGGAAGAAGAAACCAAAGTAAAAAGTGAGACTCGTTTTTTAATTATAGTCAATAAAATACCATTTATTCATGACATTCTGAGAAACTGAGAAATTTCAGGGGTAAACCTTTTGAGGGGTATCAGAAACCCCTATACTGACAATGTTAAATTGGCCATTTTCGATGTACCTTTTCTCAAAATCTGCTGCAGATACAAGCTTGAAATTTTTTTGTAATTAAAGTATACCTATCTGATTATACTGAAATGAGCTTTTGAAACATTTTGAATTTTAGAGTAAATTACAGAATATTTTGTTAGACATAGTAAAATTTAGCACTTTTCTCACACAAAAAATTTTTATTTTTTTTTCTAAGTTTATTACAAAAAGCTCATTTCAGTAAATATTAGGGAACCTAATAAATAGGCTATAAAAAGTTCAGATACCTGTGAGCAGTAGTTCCTGAGAAAAGGTACATCGAGTGTAAAAAAATCACGTTTGGAGAAAAACGCGTTTTTATGTAAAAATCCTTATTGATCAAAGCAGTAGATGACAAATTAAAACTAGATTTTTTTACAGTTCTAACTTTCATAGAGATTAAAGAATGGTATTTTTATAAAGATTTTATAAAGAATGGTATTTTATAAAGTGTAGAGAATTTGAAAATGCAAAAACACGAAATCACAATTTTTTGAAGATTTTGGAGTTCCAACACCCCTTAACGCTTGGAGGGTTAGACTAGAATAGCTCATAAGATTTTTCAAGCTCTGTTAAATTATGTTTTGTTCGTAATATTAGTTTCCTCTTACGAACAGAGCAGCATATCTGTAGTTCAACAGTTTGGCAAAACTCTCATTAGGAAATAATGTGATTAGCCAAATAGTAAAAATTTTATAACTAAATACACGAAGTACTTTAAATTGCATTCCAGAAAACTTGAAAAGCGTTTTAATATATGTCCGAATATTAGACATATGTGTTGCATTTCCACATTCCTTCCCAGCTGAGAATTTTTTTCCATAACTTGCCGCAACTTTTTATGTGATTTTTCATAGGAATTTACCGTCTGACTATAGAGCTAATACGTCACATTAATACAAAGAAACCATTTCTCAAAGACCTTTCCCATCAATGAGCATTTGCTTTTCGTTCTTTAAACATTTTTTATCAGTTCTGCACATCATTATCACTCATACAAGTTTTTTCATTGAAATTACTCTGTACACGATGAATTTCAGCTGCGTTTTGTGTTCACTTTCCAAAGTCTAATAATAGAGCAAATCCTGTAGTTGGTGAGAGCATTGATTTTACAAGCAACATACGCAGGCAGGAAGGGCTACAATGAACAGAGATAAACAACATAATCTAATGTGTATTTAATTCTGGTACACGTTAAAATTTTTCTTATTCCTCAATTTATGTTTAAACTGTTCGAAAATTATTTAAAAACAGCCCTCGTAAATGTGCTTTATACTTAAAGCTGATAAAAAGAAAATTAAAACTTAAACCGCTTTTTATTAATAACTTGTCTTCTTGATCATACTAGCATTTTAAGACCTATTTTTCTACCAATCTGAAGTTAAAAGTAGTCATTGCTAGAGACAGCATTAAGCACAATATTCGAAGTTTTTGCCACGCATTCAGGTTAATATTTTTCGAGCGTAGCAACGTGATTTTTAATGAACGCAAGCCCCTGAAACATATTAAGCTTTCAGTTTTGTTATGAAGACTATATCCATCACATTTTATTATGAATTAAATTACACATCAGAATACCCTGAATCCCTTACGACAGAAGTTTACTGGTTAAAAGATAAAAAAGTCAGCAAAATTAAAGTAGCTTCTTTTTCAAATATTATACAGTAAGAATGATTATAATACATGAAGATATACTGACTTTAGTTTTATTTAAAAATATGAAGCTTATTCATATCTATTTCGGAGATTTTATTGGATTAGTGAATTTTCGCAAAGCACACAAATTCTACCTGCCTAAGGGTAGCGTATATTCTTCGAGAACTATATAGAAGAAACTGGTTCGTATTGTGACGAACACATGTGAAGAAAATTGTAAAAGTTCAATGTACGAAGAGCCCGAATGTTCACTCGCCGGAAAAAGAACTAAATTTGGGGAGAACTGAATTTGCTTCGCCCCACGGCCACCCATGAATGTAATCACTTTACAGAAGTCAAGTTTAGTGTTTGGCCCACCAACGGCCGAGCTATAAAGTCGCTAAACACTGATAATTCGGTCCGAGGTTCAAATCTCTTGAACGGGCTGGCTGCATGGGCGTTTTCGTGGATTTCTCCATGTGTAACGTGTATACGAGCCAGCTTCCCTTAAAAAGTCTTCCACAAAGGCATACCTGCTCTTAGGCAGATAGTCCTCTGCTAATCACACAAACCAAACCTTTGCCATAATCACACAAACCAAATCAAAACAAGTTTAGTGCTGTTAAAAGATTATATTCTAAACTTATTGAACTCGAATGCATGAGAAATAGACTGGTCACCTGTTAATTCCTCAAATCTATTTTACAATTTAATGACGTAAATTCCAACAAATTTAGGACTTCATCACAATTAATAATTTCCTTCTTTCCTCCCAATTTATCATACAACATGTTTTCAATAGATTAAAAAAATATTAACTATAAATCTGAATTAAATCATTCACTTATTTCTAAGACAAGCTATCATTAATTTTTAAATCCTGAGATTTTACCCTAAATTATTTCCTTAACTGGATGCATTAAATAATAGAGGGAATTTCAGAACACGGAAGAATACAGTAAAATATTTTTTTAAATATATATTACTCATTTTTAAAGCTATATTAAATAGGTAAGACGTAAAGAAAGACTTCGAACTTACATCAATGAGCAGTTAACTCAGCTCATAGAAAGAGCTGTAATAACAACCAAATTATCCTTAGCGCAAGAAAAGGCTATAGCTAGTTTGGTTCTAGAAATTCAGTATTGCTGGGTCCGAAAAATCAGCAGCTTTAAAATTGTAAACATAAAATAGAATAAATAAATCTCACATAAAGGAAAAACTACATGGCTAAACTCTAAAGTATTTCTTAGACTATAATCACTAAATTCTACAGCACTTCAGTTAACAATATCAACTACAGTAAATTCTGAACAAAGTAAGCCTCCTCGCAGTATCTTGTGCACAAAGCCCCACAAGAGGCTGACCCTGAGTACAGGTAGTTAGACCAAATTTGTGTTCGATCACAGATGAAAGAGTTGACTGCATGGTTGGTTTCCTATTTTTTCTCATGCGTAACGTGAAGACGAGCCAGGTTCTTTCAAAAGTCCTCCACGAAAGCTTCCCTTCTTTTAGGCAGATAGCCTTAGTGGCTTTGCCAAATTCAAGCAACCTAACTTAACCTAGACATACCACAGTCAAGGTAAACATCATTACCAGAACATTGTGCGCTCAGAAAACAGAAGCGTTAACTTTAAAAAAGCATGTCCAACTTTAATGTCCTGCCACTGAGAAAAACGTTTATCCTCTAGGAAAAGGTCAGATCTACTTAGAAATCAAGTCATTTAACTTGCAGTGTTATCCTCCTTATCTGCTGAAGTATGACAGCATCAGAGATGTATTACATTCTCATGAAATCCCGTCAGGGGGAAGAGAGTTTATAGCTCACAAAGAACTAAGCAGAACAATGGTGTACAAGCTACAGATTAATTACAATGTGCCATGTTTTCCTCACATCAGTCTCTCAGACTGAAACAGAGTTCCTATTTCTAACTACACTCATGTCCATAAATTAATGATAATGCAAAATCAGGCAAAAGAAGAGTTAGAAGCAAAACAAATTTGACTTATTTGTAAAGCTTATTTATTAAACAAAATGTAAAGAGCAAAAAAAGATGCCATATGTTTGATGTTAT